AGATGATGTACAAGGAACCCAGATGTCCTCACACACCTGTGTTGAACCACCTCAACTTCATCCAACTCTTCCGGCACCTCCATCTTCTCCAACCACTGCTCCTTCTCATCCACCCAGACCTCGCAGGCGTGGACCTCGCTGAACATACGGTAGACGGCCAAGGCGTCCTGCAGCCACTGCTGCCTCAGCACGGCCACCTCCACCACCTCCCCGTAGAGCTGCTCCACCTCCACCACCCTGATCTGGACATCAACTCCTTGACGATGTTCTGGTGAGAGAAGAGCCAATTGCTTCCGAAGAGCCAAGACGGTCGCCCGGTGCTTCTCCACCTCTTCCACCACCGCCCGATGCTTCCGTAGAAGACTTTGGGTGGAGTAATCATCATGGCCAAAGTCATCGCTGGAGACGATGCGGTAGATGTCCTGCAACCAGGCCACCAAGTCATCCGTCTCGGAGCTGAATTGGAAGAAGTTGAGGGCCTCCTGCAACCGTTGTTGGTGTAACCCCGTCACCTCCTCCAGCTTCTTCCAACGCAGCCGGACCTCCCGCATCTTCTCTTGGATCCCACCGGGGTTGAAACGTTTCTTGGCCAAGATCTGCTCACCTTTCTTCATGGTTTGGTGCAACAAGGCCCGTCGGTTGCCCAGTTCACCCAACATGCTCTTGTGTTTGTTGGTCAACGTCAAGACGCTGCTCAAGTCCCGACCGCACGTCTTGGAGGCCAAGATCTTCTCCTTCTCACGGATCCACCCCTCGGCCTCCTCCATCTCCTGGAAGAAGGCCCAAAGCTGCCGAGATTCCTCCAACTCTTTGCGTCTCTTGGCCGCCAGTTCTCCCAGTTCCTCCAGACACGTTTGGACGTGGTTGACCCGGTTGCAGATGATTTGAGGGTCACAGGGTTGATAACCTGGACCGAGAAGAACCAGATCTTAGTGGAGATGGTCTACAACACCATGAAGACCTTGGTTGACCCCCATCTCAAGGTCAAGCACCCCAAGGTCCTCGTGGTGCCCATCTCAGTGTCCCACGTTACCCTCCAGCTCTGAGAACTTGAGGGCGGCGGCGTTGAGGGCCTGCACGCGCTCGGTCTGGGCGGAGATGTCGGCCTCCAGAAGTCCATGTTTCTGCAGCAGGTCCTCAACCTCCAGAAGATGCTTCCCCAAATCTTTGGAGACCAACAACACCTGGGGAAAGAAACCACAAGGGGTGGTGTAGATCTTCTCACCGTGTCCTCCATGGAGATACCCAGCAACTGACATGTCCTCAGCTCTACCTGCATCTCCTCCATCCAGTCAATCATGTAGACCATCTCCTGGAAGATCTTCTGCAGGGCCAGGTTCTGCTCCAGGCGGGCGCGGCGGGCGCGGAGGAGCTCGGTCAGCAGCCCCCACTGCCGGAGGATGTTGTCCTTCTGGGCGCTGATGCGTTTGGTGTAGTAGTAGCCCTCAGATTCCATCTCCAAGGCCAACTCCACCACCACCTGGATCCGTTCTTGGTAGGAGGAGATATCGGCCTCGATGGCCTCGTGTTTCTTCATGGCGGCTTCCACCGCTGGCAAGTCGTAGCCAAAGTTGTCCTGGGGTTGTTGGGGGGAGATGCCATCAAGTGTGGTGGATCCTTCTCCACTCAACGAAAGGAGCTCAATGAGATCCCACCACCCAAGCGTTGGGTTCTTCACCCTCAACTCCAAGCAAGGAGAAGACCTACAGGTCCTACCCCTCATCCCACCCCACCTGTGAGACCAGCCGTTGGTTCTCATTCAGCCACGTCTCCCTCATGATGACTTTATGGTCAAAACGTTGGGCCAGAAGCTCCAACTTCTCCTGCCGGATCAACTCGTTGCGTAACGACACCTCCCGCTCGTGTTCGGCCTTCTCCAGGCAGGTCCACGCCTGTGGGGTGGGACATGGTGGGGCTCAAAGAGGTGGTCCTCAGCCTTTCTGAGGGTTCTCCAGCATGGAGAGGTCACCCCTGTCCCACCAGGACCTTGTTGATGTCCGAGATGCTCTTGCCCTCGTTGGGGACGTAGAGTTTGCGGTTGTTGGCCCGGAGTTTGCTCTGGATGGTGAAGAGAAGAACCTCCAGGTTCCCCTTCTCCTGGAACCTACAAGGTGACAACACCAGGTCAGGATACAACCACGGTCCTCCCCCACCCCATGGTTGTCCATCCCACCTCAAGAAGTTCTCACTTGACGGGCTTCTCCAAGGTGCAGAAGGCGGTGAAGGCCTGGAGCTGCTGTTGCACCCCGGTCAAGGAGTTGGCGAACTTCTGGTTGGTGATGATGGTGATGGTGTGTTGGATCCAGGCCAGGAGCTCGGTGGCCAACGCTTCGTACCGCTCGATGATGGTCTCGATCTCCATGGCTTGATCCAGAACCTGGTGGGAGAAGGTTGGGTGGCTCGTTACAGCTCAGGGACGTGTCCTACAGAACCTCCTTGAGAAACCAGGAGTGGTTTGAGGTGCAACTTGTTTGGACCAGAACCTTCAGGGACCAACATGGGCCAGTGAAGTGTTGGGACATTTCATGGAGTCAGGGATGGAGAACCCCATGGAGCCAAGGATGGGACATCCCATGGAGCCAAGGGTAGGACATCTTATGGAGCCAAGGATGGAGAACCCAATGGAACCAAGGATGAGAACCCCATGGAGCCAACGATGGGACATCCCATAAAGCAAGGGATGGAGAATTCCATGGAGCCAAGGATGGGACATCCCATGGAGCCAAGGATGGAGAACCCCATGGAGCCAAGGATGGAGAATCCCATGGACCAAAGGATGGAGAACCCCATAGAGCCAAGGATGGGACATCCCATGGAACCAAGGATGGGACATCCCATGGAACCAAGGATGGAGAACCCCATGGAGCCAAGGATGGGACATCCCATGGAGCCAAGGATGGAGAATCCCATGGACCAAAGGATGGAGAACCCCATAGAGCCAAGGATGGGACATCCCATGGAGCCAAGGATGGGACATCCCATGGAACCAAGGATGGAGAACCCCATGGAGCCAAGGATGGGACATCCCATGGAGCCAAGGATGGAGAATCCCATGGACCAAAGGATGGAGAACCCCATGGAGCCAAGGATGGGAAACCCCATGGAGCCAAGGATGGAGAACCCCATGGAGCCAAGGAAGGAGAACCTCATGGAGCCAAGGATGGGACATCCCATGTAGCCCAGGGTTGCCCAACCCACCTTTCCGATGCGCTTCCCCTCCACAGCCAACGCCTTCATCTTGGAGAAGTAGTGGTAGAAGGACACCACGTAGGTGATGATGGACTTCTCATCAGGGTCCTCCATGTTGACATCTGGCAAACGGTGAAGCCATCGGTCCCTCAACCCCCCTCATCTCCACAAAGTCCCCTTTGACCACCAACCTTGGTCCAGCAAAGCCCATCCCCAACCTTTGAGATGTTCTCCTCAACCTTGAACCCACCCACCCCCAAAAAAAAAGTCCTTTGAGGTGGAAACTGAAGCCAGGAGAAGTTAACTGGTGGGTGGGGACATCCCACCCCACGTGGATGGACAGATGGATGGATGGATGGATGGATGGATGGATGGATGGATGGACATCTCCAGACTGTCCCCTCCCTACCCTCAGGGTCCAGCAGTTTGCTGAGCCCCAGGTGCTGCTCGGCCGTGTTGAAGGCTTGTTGAAGGTTGTAGGTGGCGTTGGACTTGGTCAACTTGTGGAAGTCGATGAGATCCGGCCTGCAAGAAGAACATGGTCACTTGGACCTCCTCAACCCCACAGAAGGAACCCAAGTGTCCCACGTTGTCCTCCCCACCATCCCCCTCCATCTGCCCCACCCAAAGGACCTGTGCTTGTGGATGAGGGCGTTGAAGGCCAACCCATCCCTCCAACTGGTGGTGAAGTTCTGGATGTTCACCTCGGGGTAGCTGTGGACAATGGGTTGGAGGAGTCACACAGTGATTGGTGGGGTCATCCATGGTGGGCTCCATCCCACCACCAGGATGGGGTGGAGAAGGTGAAGGTCACCACTCACCCCGCTGTCTTCATCTGACACCAGAGCAGAAGCGCGTCCTTGGCCGAGCGCGTCTCCCGATTGTCTTCAGTCTTGATTTTGATCACCTGGATCTGGGGAAAACCGAGAAGAACTGACACACGACGAGGTCCTGGGGTGGAGACACCATCCCACCTGGTGGGGACATCCCTGTCCCCGCTACCTGGAAGCGAAGGATGATGGTCCAGATGAGGCCAAGGGTCAGGCGGTGGTTGCCGTCCACGATGTCGTGGGAGCCGACGTTCTCCAGGTGGACCCGTTGTTCCTTGAGGAACTGCAGGGCCTTGTCCACGTTCTCCAACGAGTGGATCCTCATCCGGCCCCGTGTTGGTTTGGGCTGTTGGGGACACCAGGAACCTGTCACCTTCACCTGGTGGAGAAGGTTCTACCACCCAACTTATCCCAAGCGGGTGGTGGATGAAACCTGGTGGTGATGGTGGTGGTGATGGGGAGGTCTCATGGGACCTGGGTGGTGGTGATGGGGAGGTCCCAACTCATCCAGACCCTGTGGTAGGTGGGACCTGGTGGTGGTGGTGGTGATGACATGGAGGTCCCATCTCAGCCCAACCTGGGGTAGATGGGACCTGGGTGGTGGGGGGGGGGACCTGGGGG